TCTATCTATCTATCTATCTATCTATCTATCTATCTATCTATCTATCTATCTATCTATCTATCTATATTTCTAGAAAAAAAAACATTTATTTGACATACATTTAAAACAGACAAATATATATATATATATATTTGTGTGTGTGTGTGTGTGTGTGCATGTGTGTAGGTCTAGGTGTGTTCGGGTCTTTTCCCGTGTAAGATTAAGAGTATCTTGGCGATGTTTCGGCGAGGTCCCACTCGCCATCCTCAGGCTGGTGCTTTCGGCTTCGTGCCAGTGCAAGCAGTATGTGATCAGAGCTGCCGTCTCTCTATAAATACTGGTGGTGGGGGCTGATGTTCTGGGCTGGTTGGCTGCACTGCTGCCTCTTGATTGTTTGATGGAGTTGATGTTGGTATAATGGGCTGTGTGACGGCCTTGTGAGTTTTGTTGTGGAGATATCCTGGATCTTGTGCTGTAATCTCCTGGGTCGTTTGTTTTTACAGCACAAGATCCAGGATATCTGGATCAACTGTAAAAGTTGATCTGAAACAACTGTAAAAGTCTGACTCACAGACGAACAAAATACAGAAGCCTGATGATGGCAGATGAGATTCTGCCGAAACGTTGCTACAACTTTAAAAGCACAACTATAATGACGTGGGAAAATACCCGAACAAAGCCGAATACCATACATGTAAATACCCGCGAAAACTTAAGAAAACAAATATATATATATATATATACATATATACATTTTACAGTGTATATTGAGCAATGGTTAATTTTTTTTCTTTATCTTTATCATTGACGTGATCTGCCTTGTTACAATAACTCCTTCGTTCTTTTAATGTTTTAATTTCTCTATATAGTTTATAATTAAATGCACGTCTTCTGTCATTTCCATAACTTATCCAAATATCAAATATTACCTTTTCTTTAACCAATCATACCAAATGTTCCATATTTCATAATAGTCACTATCTTGTTTATTTTTTAACAATTTGGTTAGGCTATCCATCTCAGCACATTCATGTATTTTTTTAAATACCATATCCTCTGAAGGAATGAAAGACAATTTCCAGTTTTGTGCGTAGGTTATTCTGGCCGCAGTTATGATGTGCAAAATTAAATATTGATATTTTTTCTCCATGTTTAAATCTATCATACTTAGCTGAAAGGTTTCACGTTCAAGTTTTAAATTTTGTTTTGTTATATTTAAAATCCAATTTCTAATATTTCTCCAAAACTTCTGAGCACATGGGCAAGTCCACATGTGAAAATATGTTCCTTGTGCGTAGTTACATTTCCAACAGTTGGGTGGTAGGTTGGGAAACATCTTAGCCAATCTCACGGGAGGTAGCTGCCAGCGATGAACCATTTTATATAAGTTTTCTTTATACGAGACTGACATGGTTAATTTGTAATTTGTTTGCCAGATGTGTTCCCACTTATCTAATTCAATACTATGACCCATGTTTTTAGCCCAAATTATCATAGATTATGTGACTATTTCTTCTTTTAATTTGTAATCCAAAAGATATTTATATGTGTTACTAATTGTTTTCTTTTCCTCTCCTAGCCATATTTTATCTAATTCTTGTGGGATCATATTAAAGCCAGATTGTTCTCTATCTTTTTTATAATGGGTTTGTATTTGTGCAAAGGGCCACCATGCTATCTCCTTTCCTTGAATTTGTATTTGGTTCCTATTTTTAAGCTCTTCAGTATCATATAGTAAATCTTTATACCTGACAATATTTTTATAATCCAATAGATTTGGATATGTGACTGCTTCCAATGTAGATAGCCACAATGGAACCTTTGGGTAGTGGTTTTTTTTAATCATTCCCCAGATATTGAACAACACATTTCTTACATGGTGCCTTTGGAAATATGAATGTTGTTTAGATTTTCCATCCCACATGAAGGCACGCCAGCCAAGTTGGAGATCAAAACCTTCTAATACTAATAACCTTCTATTTTCTAATTTAACCCAATCCTTAAGCCAGTTTACTATAGCAGCATCATAATATAATTCAAAATCTGGAAGGCCAAATCCTCCTTTTTTCTTGGCGTCCTGTAATAATTTATATTTCACTCTGGGTTTTTTCCTCTGCCATATAAATTTAGATATACATTTGTTTACTTCTACAAAAAAGTTCTTTTCCAACTTGACTGGCACTGTCTGAAACAGGAACAACAGTTTTGGCAAAATATTCATTTTTACTGTCGAAATACATCCCAATAGCGATAACTGCAATTTGGCCCAATTATCTAAATCTTTAACTATTTGCGTTATTAACTTATCATAGTTATCTTTTTTAATCGACGAACATCTAGCAGTCAACCAGATCCCTAAGTATTTTGCTTTATTTACCACCTGCATACCTAATTTATTTGCTAGTTCTTCCTTCTGCTCCTTTGTACAGTTTTTTGTTAACACTTTTGTTTTTTCTTTGTTAATTTTTAACCCTGCCACCTTTCCATATTCTTCTATTTCTCTTAGTAGTATAGGGCTCATTTCTAAGGGTTCTTCTAATATAAATGCCATATCATCGGCGAATGCCTGGAGTTTATATTCCTCTTTTTTAATTTTTAGCCCTCTAATCTCTTGATTTTGCCTAATTTGTGCTAAGAGAGTCTCTTCTGCCAATATATACAGTAGGGGAGCTAGGGGGCAGCCTTGTCTTACTCCCTTATTTATCTTTATAGTATCTGTATTTTCCCCATTTATTAATACTTTTGCGGTTTGCATGTTCTAAATTGTCTTAATAAATCCTATAAAATTTTCACCAAATTTCATGCCTATCAGTTGTTTAATAAGAAAGTTCCAATTCAGGTTGTCAAAAGCCTTCTGGGCGTCTAAAAATATCAATGCCATTGTCTTGGTTGAGTGTACTTCATAATATTCTAATATATCCATTATGGTTCTTGTATTTGTTTTTATTTGCCTATGGGAGAGGAAGCCATTCTGTTCAGTGTGGATAATTCTACTTAATACTCTCTTTAATCTTTCCGCCAATATTGTAGCCATTATTTTGTAATCTACATTTTAAAGTGATATTGGTCTATAGTTTTGAATTTTTTGTGGGTCTGATTGTTCTTTATAAATAAAGGTAATATATGCTTCAAACCATGATTTAGGCATGTTAGCATTCTCCAGGGCTTCATTGTACAAATCCACCAATATCTCCTCTATTGTTTCTTGGAATTCCTTATAGAATTCCAAAGGAATTCCATCTGGGCCAGGGGTCTTATTTGCTTTTTGTGTTCCAATTGCCTTCCTAATTTCTTCTATAGATATTTTATTATTCAAATTTTGTTTCTCTTCATCAGTAATTTCGGGCAAATTCTTTTCATTCAAATATTGATCAATAGATTCTTCTGGTATTTCTTCCTGTTTATACAATTTCATAAAAAACTCCTTAGCAATTTCTTTCTTTTCTTGGGTCTGAGTGTATAATTTCCCTTCCTGATCTTCCCTTACTGATCAAAACATGATCAGTAAATTAAAAAGTTATCCTGAAATTCAAGAACTAAAGACCAAGGTGTTATTTCTCTCAGCAGTCAGCCATAAATCATGTGTACAAAGCAAAAGCTATCTTCCACTGATATATACCATGATCTAAAATTTGTTTGATAGATATATCTATAAGGTGATTCCAAAAATCAAAACTACAAAAAAGATAGAAGAGTGCACATCTTTCAGAATTCCATGTACAGGAACTTATTAGGTTCCTGCTCTCAATTTGTTCTAAAATAAAAAATCTAAAATACTTTTAAAACCATTAAACTTACAATTATATTATTACATTTCATATGCAGTAGGCTTTATACTTTATCTATTACTGACAAAAATGTATGATCTATTACAGTGGTCGCCAACTGGTGGGCCGGGGACCACTGGTGGGCCGGGGACCACTGGTGGTCCGTGAAAATGTTTTGGTGATCTGCAGAGAAATGCCCCTTCCAAAGCCCCCCCCAAGCAATTAATCCAAGCTGCGCGGGAACACAAGGCTACACACCCACATGGCTCACCCACTCTCTGGCCCTCACCCTTCGGCCAAGCGCAAACCTTACTTTGAGTAGATGCAAGCTGGAACTGAAAGGTAAAACCAACAGCGGGCAAGGGAAATCTACCCCGGCATGGCTTGCTGATGATGGTGGGAAAGTCGGTTCCATATTCCAGAGCTGCAGTAGTCACAGGACTGGCCCTTTGGTCATCCCGGAGCTGCTACTCCAACCAAGTGCACCGGCCTGCCATAGACTGGAGGAGCTGCTCCGGGATAACCAGAGGGCCAGTCTTGTGACTACTGCACCAATGTCAGCAAGCCACTGTCAGTCAAAATTCATATTAGTGGTCCGCAGGATTTAAAATTATGATTTTGGTGGTCCCTGAGATCCAAAAGGTTGGCGACCCCAGATCTATTATTATATATTGTATTACTATATCAGTATAAGCAATATTTTCATCTTGATGTGATTACTACAAATACTTATACTTTTGTATTTTTAAAAAACACAAATAAATGAGAAACAGAAAGTAGAAAAAAATCAGTGAATCATACCTAGTTATAAGGACTGCATTATCATGGTGGGCAATTCCATTTTCCGGAATGGTGTTTCCATCACTTTGGTGAGAGAGAACAGATTTCTGCCACTTACAGAAGCTATCAAGGGACTTGTCTGCATGGTGATTTATCTCCAAGTTTGGCTGCAATACAACATGCATACCAGAAATGTTCCAAACAAGTTACTAGGGTCAGCGGTTAAGACTTCTGAAGTCTAAATATGATCTGTAATTAGAAGCAGTGATTTCTAGGAATAATTTCTTCTTGCCAATTTTTATCTCTGTTAAATCTGCCCAACAGTATGTTTTGTGCATGCATCTTAAAGATTCAATTTCAAACTTCAAATTGATTTTGCCAAAAGTAAGGATTATAGAATTAGTCCAATATTTATCTTTTCCTCCCTTAACAGCAAGGAAGGAAAAGTTATGCAGAGGAAAGTGCTATTTAGAAGGTTTTTACAATATCAAAATTGAAGAACAAAGAACAAGTTATAACAACACTTTAGAACTCCAGTCTTTTACTTATGTAATTTTCATGATATTCAATTGAACTAATATTCAATTATTTAAATACGGTAATACTTTCCTAATCTCTCCAAATTTAAAATAATGTAGATGATAATGGTAAATGTTTATCATTAAACATTTTTTCCAAACAATATTTACACATATTTTATTACATTTAATTTGCATTACTTATATTTTAGACATTTGAATTTGCTTACCTGATCTTCTGTGAGGACAATTAAACGAGTCACTATAATATTCACAACGTTTCCTAGGCTGGAATCACGGTAAAGTTTGGCAACCTGACCTCCAGAAAAGAAGAAAAGACATAAAGTCAGACAAATAAAAACCTGTTAGTTTTGAAATATGTCTGATGTATAATTAGTTTTTATTTTTAAAAATATTTTTAATTTTATCATAAGGCATAGGTAATACAGTATATTATTTGGGTATAGTGATACTTATCCAGTATAAACTGTAGATTATTAACACTCTAAGAATTAGATAACTTAAATCTTGAAAAATAAGGAAAATGTTTATATTAATATTAACTATGATACTCCCCCTGAAATGTTACATTCAGTTTTGAGATATCCTTTAAAGAATCCAGTGCTGCTAAGAAATATTTATTTTCAGACAGTGTTCCATTTTACTTTTGCAAGAAAAGATAAATTTAGCTACAATAAATTGTGTTTCAATCACCTCCCATACAGATTGGTATAATGTTCTCTATATCTGGCTGCCCTTGAGAAAAGCAACTAATGTAAAATGATGGGCCTAAACTGCTTTCTCACATTTGCTTTGTTTACAACATTACAGTATATTGATGTCTTAACAGATGCTATCTACATATTCTAAACACAAATTAGTCCTTATATGAAAGAATGTATGGAGGATTAGGCTAATGTGAGTTACAGGAATCCTCTCTAAAATTCTTTGCAATATACATCTGAACAGTTAAAAGCTACCAATCCAGAAAAAGATACATAATACTGAAGTAGTCAACTGAAACTGAACCACCACACAATTTGATTTTTAAATAACTACTTTAACAACATGCCTGAAAATGGTTTTACTTGATAAAAGCCCACAAAGGAGCAGAAGCACTAGCTCAGAGGTTCAAGCAGAATTGGGCAGGTGAAGCAATTTATACAGAGGTACAAGAGATAGTTGGCATCTGTGCAGTTTATTTAGTCCTCTCCAAGAGAAAAGGACTATGGCTATTTCCCTCCTAACTACCTAGAGTGAAGTACCCTATCAAGATGATACAAACTGACTGGTGATATGGTCCCATGTAATCAAAAGAAACATCTGTTATAAACAGAAGAAGCAAATTTATTAATTATATGGAGACTTTTGCTACTGGAAAAGTAGATACCAGTGTGGTGGTTATAGCCTATTAATGGAACTGGTACCAATTTGGGGGGGGGGGGCAGTAACAGTAAGGTCAACCCTTTCTGATTTAGTCATCCAATTAACAGATACTGCCCTGGGCATAGAACTAGAATATCACTGAGAGACAGTTTTCTCTAGTGATTAAGGTGCTGGCCTAGGAACCAGGAGATTATGACTTCTAATCCCACCTTGGGCCATGAAAAACCAGCTGGGTGATTTTGGACTAGTCACTTTTTCTCAGCCCATTCCAACTTATAGGGTTGTCATTGTGTGAAAAATAGGAGGAAGAAGGAGTATTAGATATCTTCACTGCCTTGATTCAAATCAATCAATCAGTAAAATAAAAATTGCCTAAAAATACCTATAATTACAGGTAGCTCTCGACTTAAGACTGTAACGGAGCCTACTCATGACACCTGTAAGTTGTGATAGTTATAAAGAGGGTTAGCCATGTGACTCAATTTTATGAGCTTTGTTGAGTGGTTGTTAAATAAAAGCCATGGTCATTAAGCAAAAGCATGGTAACTTCCAATAGTCACTAAGTGACCAGTTGTAAGTTGAGGACTACCTTTATTGTATCTGAGGGGTCCTGGATGATCTCTGAGCTTGTTTTCTTGCAAATGTTTCATTACCATAACTAGGTAACATCATCAGTGCAAGTGTACTGATTGTTTATTGCATTTAAAATATTGCATTTGATGCATTGCTAGCACACGATTGATTCATATTTTATAGACATTTTTCTAAAGAAGTAAATAATATAACACCTTTACTAATAAATCCTTATATTTTAAATTTAATAACATTACAACCTATAATGTTGAAATTAATTACATGAATATATAGAGGGATAAAACTTACAATATTCATAACACTCAAAATATAATGTTCAATATCTTTGCGCCCATGATATCCCACCATCATTTTGTCTGCTACTACCAGCGTCTCCACAAAACGTTCAGTGCTTATTGATCTCTTCAATCGATGATGATTGTTCAAAGTCTGATTAACTGGTAGAAGAGTTGGAAAAGCAACAGTATTGTTCAAACACCAAGGTTTACCACTTCTTGTGAGTTCTTCTAGGAATCAAAATAATGAGTGACATGACTGACTGCTCTTTTAATATATATTTATATATGTTAAACATATACATGTGTGTCTGTTTTTAAATTATTTTGTTCCAATTTCTTCAACACTGATATTTTATTTAGCATAGGAAAAAATTAAAAATTAAATCATAACAAATTATACAAATTAGAAATTTTAAAAATTAAAAACACTAAATAACCTGATTTGGTATAAAAATCTATACTTGTCATAACTATTCTCAAATATTTTATTATAAAAAGGGAAACAGTAAATATAAATGGTGATGGTGCAATGGTTATAATATTAACTCTGCCCACAGCCAGGAGTTTGATCTTGACTGACTCAAGGTTGACTCAGCCTTCCATCCTTTCAAGGTCAGTAAAATGAGGACCCAGATAGTTGGGTTGATATGCTGACATTTGTAAAATGCTCAGGGAGTGCTGTAAAGCAGCATTCCCCAACCTTTTCAGATCTGCAGACCAGTGGAATGATGGCAGGGAGGGAGAGGGGAGTTTTACACATATGTGCATGCTATTTTCACAAATGCAATTGCATGCACAAGTGCGCGCACATGCACACACACTTGCCCATCACTTCCACAGCCCAGTTCCCAAAGAGCTATGGATCAGGGGTTGGGGCCCCCTGTTCTAAAGCACTATGGAGAAGTATATAAGTCTAAGTGCTATTGCTATTATTCACTAATGTGGTATTCACATAGAAATGTAAAACTGCACAGTTAAACCTTCATATTTGGAAGTCCAAATTTTGGATACTTGTGATGGGCTGAAATTTTGAATGTTTCCAATGTTTGGAATGTTCAGGCCAAACAGCAGAATCAGATTTTAAGGCTCTTCTGGACACCAGTAATGCGAGGATGAACAGTATTTTAAAGCTACAACAGTTACAGAACATAGGGGCTTGGTTCTGGAGTAACACCACTGGACCTGGAAGCTACACTGGTTATCAGTTTGCTTCCAGGTCCAATTCAAGATATTGGTCATTACCTTTATGTCATGGGTCTAGAGTATCTCAAGAGTCATCACATCTCAATAGGACTAGCTCATCCCATTCACTTCAGTGAACTCCAAATACTTAATTGGATTCCATCTGCCAAAGGATTTCAATTGGAGAGGTTGAGGAGAAGAGTCTTTTTTGCTGTGGCCCTTATCCTTTGGGATATTCTCACCTCTAATGAGAGAAGTGCAGCTTCCAGGTCCAGTGGTGTTACTCCAGAACCAAGCCCCTATGTTCTGTAACTGTTGTAGCTTTAAAATACTGTTCAAGGGTAGCCCCATGTAGAGCATATTTCAGTAATCCAACCAACAGGACTAGGGAATAAGTGACTGTGTGCTAGGCCTCATGATCCAGGATTCTATCAATATTTAACAACATATAAGAACATAAACATATTTTATCTTTTTCCTAAGAAGCACATAAAGGAATTAATAAAAATATAGAAACAAGATTAGTAAAATTAAATCCTCTCAAAGCCAAGACTTGCAATATTTACATTTAATTATCATAATAAAATAATCAAAATCAATTTAAAAATTAATAAAATAAACAAAGCCATAGAGAAAATTATAATCTTCATCTTAAACTGGAAAGCCTATTTCTGTGGGGATCCGAATCTGGTTCTAATAAGAAAGGCTTTGATTGAGAAACTTGCAAATTGATGTACAGCTTGAACTGATAAGGAATTTCCTATTGATAACTACACAGGACTTCCTTTTGATAATAATTTAGCTGCTTTAATAGAAGCTGAATAGATAGCAGTATTTTGGATTTTTGCTCTGAGGGTCCATTATTTTCTTGAAAAAAGTAGTACCACAAAACAAACTATAACAAAATATACAATTGTATTTTTCTTTGAATTAAAAATAAAAATAGCTAGGTATTTTTTCACAATTGGTAATGAAATTATTACTGGAATTCTGACCTATTTACCTGAAATATCACAATGGGTATGATCATAGAAGAACTGATGATACAGTGAAGATTTTTTATAAATTACATGTGGATGGCCAACTTCAAAATGAAAATTATCAGACTGTTCACTTGTGTTCCTTAGGGGTTCAATAAAATATTCTTCATCTTCTGTAGCAATTATACCATGCTTAAGGAAAAAAGAAAAGATGTATCTAAAAGTTATCTAAAATATACAAAACATTTATTTCAATGTATATAATTTAGACTCCCAGTTAAGTTAAACTTTTTAATGTCAATAAAATATTTCTATATGAAAGCAAGCATATAGAATGCTATTAATAAGCACAAAACTATAATGCATAATTAACATTCAATTTGAAGATTCATACATATTTCCCATAGACATATATATTCTCCTATAGAAAGAATTGTGCATTTCTACCAGTTTAGACATCCAATTTTATATAATACACAGGTTTCAATGTTTCAATACACAAGCATGGCAAAAATTTAAATATGAACTGTGAAAATAGCAAAAAAAAAAACCAAACCTTTCCTGAAATTATATATATTATATAATTATAAATTATATAATTACTATAATATACCAAAAAGATTAAATCTCCAAGTTGAACTCAAGTCTAGATGCAATACTTTTCTAGATGCAATACATGCAATACTTTGGAAGTGTTTTGCCATTATCGTCTTCCAAGATGCTTTTCAACTTCTCATATCTCAAACTAGCCCATAAACTAGTCTCATCCAAATACAAATCAGGCTTAACCATGTATAACTTCCAAACTCAGATAATGCCAGAGACCATCACTTATCACTTATCAGAGACCATCACTTATTAAAATCACTATATTAAAATAGCTACAAGTATAATACATTCATAAGACACTATAAATATTTGAATTATAAAAGTATTCAAAACAATATATTAAAAGAAAAATGTATTCTTTTGATCTAATACCATCTAATCAACAACCACCAAAATTACTCATGTTATTTACATTGCTTAAGAAATTGTTTAAATTCCAACCACTCCTGCTGCACAAACTAGCATATCATCAAAATAGAGATGCAATTCTCAATTTCTACAATAAACTGATAATTAATTTATGTTTAGTTTCGACTGTTACTGTTTGAGTGTTATAACAGGGGAAATGTTCACTGATAAACACAGAACATAAAAGTAACAGGAAAATCATGAGGGCCATGACTTCAGTCCAGGCTTTTGATGTAGAAATGAAAAGTAGAATGTTTTAGCTTGTTCAAGAATATATTTCAAAAGTCTTCTGTTTCAATTAAGGCATAGGACTAACAAATGCAGAAAACATTAAGAATTACCGAACCAAAAAGATTAACCTCCCTGAAAGAAAGACATATGGATACTATACTAAAACCCAACAGTAGATTAAACTTGTATTTTCTTCTTTAAAAGCATAAATACATTACAAAATAAAATAAGTAGTTATGAATCTGTCAAAGGAAAATACTGAAAGAACAGAAAACTATGGTATATAACACCATTTATGCAAACAATCCTAGTTGCTTCTTTTGACAATAATTTATCTTTTATGCTGAATAATTTAGTCACCTGAATTTTTAACCAATGTTATCTTTAATAATATAATAATCTTGTATTCTGCTGTTCATTTTGGTTCTTTTTTTAATTTCTTTTTTACTTCATGTCCCAATCCTATTGTACAAGCTGCCTCAAGTTATGGCATACACATTGATAAATGAAACAAATAAAAACCCACATTACTCCTTTAGTGATCGCTTCCTAGTCCCACTTGTGGATGCTAAATGAGGACTATCTATATAACAATTCATAGGGGAGCTTCTGATAGAAAGAGTTGCCTCTTTCTCTCAGTACTACAAGTTTCACCAATTCATGAGAGAGGGAAAAGGGGTCCCCTAAAATGAAGATTTTCTTATGCCCCTGAGAAGTCCTGTTTATTTAAAGAGAAATCCGTATTTTTTTCCTCTCCATAGCCTTTTCCAATTCATACAGGGAATGATTAACATTCGCTGAAGGAAAAAGTTACAGATAAATTAGCACTCTTTAATTGAATGTGTTTACGCATTAAGATATGGGGTTTTAAAATAAATTCATCCAATCTACTTACATAGATAGAAAAATAAATCCTATCTAGACAGACCTTTATTTGTTCTATTAGGATAATTAATTGAGTACTGACAGCTAAAGCTAGTACAGAACAGCTGCCCTGTACAAGAGCCACATAACTAAGCACACTGAGACCTGCTCTGGATAAAAATTCATCATGAACTACAATTTATGGGTTAAGTGCGGAATCATAGTAACAAATCTGTTTTACCTCACAGAAATGTTAGGAGGCAAGTGAGACCATTTATATTATGCCAAAATCTGAAGAGAAATTAGCCTCATTTTCTTAAAAGTAAGAGGATGTAGAAAATACAAATATCATACACTAAAATATGACTGAGAAGATTGTGATGTCTTAAGTCTGTGTTTCTCAACTTTAAAATTTTTACAATGGGTGGGCCTCAACTGCCAGCATTCTTCAAGTCAGCAAGCTTTCCCGGGGAATTCTGGGAATTGAAGTCCACACATCTTTAAAACTGTTGAGAAAGGGCGTTGGTACTTACCTGATATGCCCATTCTCTGTGAGCTTCTGTGAAGAGCATCCGGAAGTGGGAGGTGCTTCAGTCTCTTCTGGAAAGGCTGGGCTTAAAACTCCGGGGCACTCCTCCTCCTCCTCCATGGGACGCCTCCTCAGCGTCCCCCAGTTTTGCGAAGACTGAGTGCCAAAGTCCGGGACTCATCACCTAATCTAGATCCCAGACTGGAACGGAACCCCACCAGACGGAAAGAAATGGGTGGGGCTGGATGCTCTTCACAGCTCACAGAGAACGGGCGTATCAGGTAAGTACCAATGCCCTTTCTCCCATGAGCTGTTCAGAGCATCCAGAAGTGGGACATACCAAAGCTTGGCCTGTCCTTAGGGAGGGACTCCGTCTGGATCGAAATCCACTCCTAAACTCTGTGGACCCTCTGCAGGACTCTTCTGCCAAATAAAGCATCTGCTGAGGCATAGACATCAATGTTATAATTTCTGACAAAGGGAGATGGTGAAGCCCAAGTTGCCGCTCTGCAAATTTCGTCTATGGAAGCCCATGTGGCCCATGCTGCTGATGTTGCCGCACTCCTTGTTGAGTGGGCTGTAATGCCTTGAGGAACTGAGATGGACTGGCATTCGTAACTTTTAGCTATGGTGGCTCTCAACCATCTACCGATGGTCATCGACGACACCTTTTGCCCTAAAGTGGATGGATTGAAGGATAGGAATAGAGCGTCAGATTTCAAAATGCCGCCGTGCGGTCTAGATAGATGCTTAAGGCCCTTTGAACGTCAAGTCGATGCCATTGATGCTCCAGTCTATGAGATGGTTTTGGACAAAAATTTGGAAGGACCAACTCCTGCACTCTGTGGAAGGCTGAATTTACTTTAGGAGTGAACGATGGATCCAATCGGAGAATCACTCTGTCCACATGAAACACGCACAGGTCCTTTCTCATTGACAATGCCGCCAATTTGGAAATTCTCCTAGCTGATGTGATTGCAATTAGGTAGGCCACCTTATATGTTAGGAATTTAAGACTAGTGGTTCTTAAAGGCTCGAACGGGCCAGTTGTAAGTGCGGTTAACACCTTGTTGAGGTCCCAGGTGGGATAGCAGTGAATTACAGGAGGTCGTAAGTTTGCAGCACCCTTAAGAAAGCTGCGGACATGTGGATGGTGTGCTATGGAATGGAGGTCACCCAAACTATCACCGAGGCTAAAGCCACCACCTGTCTGCGTAAAGTATTTGGAGATAGGCCCTTGGCCAACCCCTCCTGTAAAAAGTCCAATAATTGTCCTATTGATTGGGCAGTTGGGTTGATCTTAGACCCCTGGCACCAGAGACAGAAGGCGGACCACGTGGCCTCGTATATATGATTTGTTGAGGACCATCTAGATGCTTGAATGGTAGCAATAGCATCCTCTGAAATCTGTTGGGCCCTTAAACGGCTCCGCTCAACCTCCATACGGCTAGACTGAGCCATTGTGGGTCCAGGTGAAGTACCAGCCCTTGGGAGAGGGAAACCTTCGATGGTGGAATTTTCCAAGGTTGTTCTCTCGACAGGTCCTGTAAATCTGCGAACCATGTTCGCCTGGGCCAGTAAGGGGCGACCAATATCAATTCCACTCGTTCCTCCAATAACTTCTGGATCAACCTGGGTATTACCGGGAGTGGAGGAAATGCATATAGAAGTCCGGGAAGCCACTGACATCGTAGGGCATTGACGGCCTCTGCCCCCTGAGTTGGGTGCCTTGAAATCTACTGGGGCAATTGGGCGTTGAGAGGAGAGGCAAATAGATGGATCACCAATTGCCCAAACCTCCGCACTGCTTCCTGGAAGACAGATGGGTGTAGGCGCCACTCTGCTTGATCTATCGTGGTCCTGCTGAGCCAGTCCGCTTGTGTGTTTAAGGCCCTTGCTATGTATTCTGCCTTGAGCGAAAACAGATTGGCCTCGGCCCACTTGAACAACTTGGCCATCTCCAGCATCAGAAGTTTGGAATGGGCACCCCCCTGTCTGTTTACGTGGGCCTTGGTTGTGATATTGTCTGTCAAGACCAGAACATGGCGTGGAAAAGGGGTAGAAAACTGCGTAAGGCCAGGTGAACTGCTCGCAGCTCCAACAGGTTGATGCTTTGTGATTGTTCAGAAATAGTCCAAATTCCCTGCGCAGTGTGGGATTGGAAGTGAGCTACCCATCCTACCAGGCTGGCATTGGTTGTGATCGTTGCCCTGTAAGGTTCCTTGAAAGGACACCCCTTGTTTATCGTTTTTTCCAACCACCAGCGGAGCGATCGGAGAACATTGTGTGGTACCTTTATCCGGATGTTGGAAGTGGCTTTTCCGGATCACTGGAAAGGTAGCAGGAACCATTGCAGCTCTCTAGAATGGAATCGAGCCCAAGGCACAATGGAAATACAAGAAATCAGTTTCCCTAACAGTTGAGACAGCACTGCCAGGGAAACCCTCTTTAAGGCTCTGATCTCTCTGGCCAAAGACTGGATACTGTTTAACCTGTCCTGAGAGAGAAAGACCTTGCCCTCCACGGTATCTATCACTGCCCCTAAATGAACTAACCTAGTTGAGGGGATCAAATGGCTTTTATCCCAACTTATGGAAAAGCCATGACCCTGAAGGGTCTCCAGAGTAATCTTGGTATCCAATTTTGCTTGGTGTCTGGAAGATGACAAAATTAAAATATCATCCAGATAACATTGTAAGCGAATAGATTTGATCCTGAGTGAGGCAGCCAAAGCCGCAAGGACCTTGGTAAAAGTCCTAGGGGCCGAAACCAGACCGAATGGTAGGGTGATATATTCGTAGTGCTGATCACAATAGCAAAATCTAAGATATTTGTAGTGAGCAGGTCTAATTGGTATATGTAGATAGGCCTCTGTGAGATCTATAGAGGTCAGGACATCGTTCTCTCTAATGCTGAGCAAAATGGACTGGAGAGTAGTCATCTTGAATTTTCGATAAACCAATGATCTGTTCAGACGTTTGAGGTCCAGAATTGCCCTCCAGCCCCCCGAACTCTTTGGGACCACAAACTATAGAGAGTAACAGCCTTGACCCCGCTGTTCAGATGGGACCTCTCTAATGGCTCGAATATGTAGGAGATGATTGATAGCCTCCTGCATCAACGCCCTCTTAATGGGGTCCGTGGACCTAGGGCTCCTAATGAAAAAGTTCGGGGGGGAGGATTGAAACTCTAGCACCAAACCAAACCTAATAGTATCCCTGACCCATGCATCAGAGGTGGAGCTGTCCCATTGATCAGCAAACAATTTTAGCTGCCCTCCAATGGGAACTGCTGTGAAGGACTCACTTGGGGCGATGAAAAAATCAGCCTCCAGTGCCTCTGGGGTTTCATCTGTTTAGGCCTCCCCACTGACCTCTATCGGAAGATTCAGACCTATCCTGTCTAAAACTGGGCCTGTAGCCTGATGTTCTCTGAGATCTGGGAAGGTATGGGCCTTGATAGTAGGGCCGAAAGGAACCCCTTCGAAACGACTGGGGCGTTCTGTTTTCAGATCTCCGAAAAAGAGGGGGAAGCACTTTTTTCTTGTTTCTATTCTCTATAAGGAGGGGCTCCAAGACACTGCCAAATAATTTATCCCCCGATATTGGGGCTGATGCCAACTTGCATTTATGCTTGGTATCCGCCTGCCAATGCCTGAGGCATAGCAGTCTCCGTGTTGATACGTGAGATGCTATGGCACTAGACAAGAATTTGACTGCATTAAATGTGGCGTCGGCGGAGAATTCTGCTGCTGCAATAATTTTAGCTATGTCCTGGTGGGCTCTGACATTTGATGCCAGCAATATATCCCTCAAGTGGAAGAGCCATCGGAGGGAGGACTGTGTAAAAAAGGACGCCACTGTAGCAGCCCTAATGGCCCAGGCGTCAGAAACGTGTGCCCTACGGAGTGCCAACTCTGCTCTCTTTTCTTCCGGTCTCAGGGCTTTCTCGGCCTCGTTGGCCACTTCTGGATGCTCTGAACAGCTCATGTGAGAAACATCAGTATTTGACTGCATGTTCCAGTAATGTTAATGGGATCCAAGAATGACTATTTAGGGAATGACAGGTATGTCCTAAAACCAGTCCTGTCCCTCAAAATGGCTGCATACTATGATTAGCCACAAAATGGCCACATACATTTTACATTCACCTTTTTAAAAAAAATAAGGAAAGCTATTATTTATTTATTTATTTATTTATATCCCACCTTATTTTTTACAAACAACTCAAGGTGGCGAATGTATCCAATACACCTTTCTCCTCTTATTTTCCCCACAACAACAACCCTGTGAGTGGATTGGGCTAAGAGAGAATGACTGGCCCAAAGTCACCCAGTCGTTTTTCACAACAAGGGCAGGACTAGAACCCAGAATTTCCTAGTTTCTAGCCTGGAGTTTTAATCACTAGACCAAAACACTTCACTATTTAAAAAACATCAGATTATTTATTCCTCTTTTATTTCACTTCTTAAATGCATTGAGCTATAATTCTAGAAGTCCTCTTCCTTTTTTCTCCTCACGTAAAATGATTCAAACTTCTTAAATACATAGTGTACCATTTGACTGGTATTTTTGTTATTAAAATAGAAAAACTAATCTTTATTACTCTTGCTGGTGTATTGTATATTCCATCCTTATTTCATGGCCCTTAGAAAGATACAGGCAACCTGTAAAGGTGCATCTTGTTCTTCAGGCTAGTGGAATTGTTGCTTTGAGAAATAATTTAAGACAAACTTAATAAAGCTACAGCTATGCTGATCACTGTTGCAAAATAATAAGGGTCAATGAAAAATAGAGAGAAACCTAATTCTAATATTTTGAAATCATAATGAGCAGTTATATTTGTAGAAAATATATGAAAGTTTAAGAGACCTATATGCAAAACAGCCATGATTGTCTCACATTATGGATGATACTTAGATTTACTACAGTAATAAGCAGTATGTCATTCTCCAAACATGGTGCTCTTTTACCATTTTCTAACCAAGTGCTTTACAGTTATTTTTAGATTTGAATTATAGTACAACTGTACAAGTCTATTTCCATATAAGACTCACTCCTGAAATAACACAAAATTGTGACAGCAAATTATCACTTACAAAAAATACAGGTTATCCTTGGATTATCCCTTTGACTGTGATTTATTACCACTAATACTGAAAAAAAACACAGTTATTTTCCTTCCCAGTTTTCATTTTTGTAGCCAAAGACTTGTGCCAATGGATTTGCTAGTATTAGGAAATTGCATTGTGCAGTTTATAAGAAGAGCTTATACTATTTTCTTCCTAAAAAGATTCTGTCCAATAAAAACATCTGTAAAATTATACAGATGTTGCCAATGTGATATAGGCATTTCAGATGTTTTCAAGGAACATCAGGCCACATCAGCAGGAAGCCAGAGTTGATCCATATAGGAAAGACCTACTAAAAACAGTGAGAGTAATTCAATCAAGACTACACCACACCAGAAATGTATGAAAGCTACAATGGATGTTTTATTTGTACAGCAATTTGAATTGCTGGGGAGTCCTAAGAGAGTCCCTACACAAATTAAAGGAATAATAGCATAGAGATTGAAATGTACATACATACATACATACATACATACATACATACATACATTACATACATACATACACAATCACCACATAAAATTACATGAACTATTTTGAATTTTCAATATTTCTATATTTCTATATAAATATGACCTAAAACATGATCTGCACTCAGAACCCAGTTAAACAAATAAGTTGAAAGCATTATGTTGGTTCATTTATTTACTTATGAAAGTCTGGTCACTCATTCATTCAATATCCATTCATTCAATAGTCATTCATTTCTGAGTCTCTCTCTTCTTGTTTACAATGGACACTCCTTCAATACCCCATTCTCAGTGCATTCAACTTACTTTTCTGTCTCCCGTTAATAACCATTCTTAACATACATAGCCATTTTTGTTATTTTTGATAAATATTCATTCATTGTGTCAGTGTAATGATGATTTAATAGCTGACCAGCTGCTGTAATACTGTAATGTTGTAATGATGATGCAATGGTAGTAATGAGTCAGCGGGGTTATTTGACTGTTACCTCTTTAAGAAGCTGTACTATAAAAGAGGCCCTGTTGGGGCATCTCTCTCTCTCTCTCTCTTCATGTGCTTCTATGCTGTAAATTACTGGTTGTTGTTTGTTCAAGGCCTGTCTCAAAGTACTTGCATGTATATATGTTTTTGTAGAGATAAAACCACTATATGTAAATACAAACCTCTGTGTACTGCATTTGCTCCTGGGTTGTCTCACCTAGTCACATTGTGCATACTCTGACATATTGCAACCATGTACTACTCACTATTTTTCTACCAGCATTTACAATCTTAACCTCTCTCAAAAGGGAATAGCATGTGGGTGTTGAGTTTATTCCTAGATACATTGATTCATCTACTTACTCTAGGTTTGTTTGTTTTTTTGGCATTTGTATATAATTTGCAAGTGTTCACTCCAAAAATCTAGTTCCTGGTCTTTGAAACATTAATTTTATACCCTGTCTAAAATTTGCTATCAGGTACTCAGCCAACAATGTGGCACCATCTGCATTCAAAAAATATTTACATTCTGAACCTACAAACCTCTCTTTATCACAAGTATTATTTATATAGTTATTGATAAATATGTTAAACAACCAACAGGACATCATACTTCATTAATGTACTCCCAGTTCAATGTTGAATGTGAGCATTCATTTCTTTTCACACATGCTTTACTTCCCTCATATACAGTTCTTACTACATTCCGCAACCAAATGTTTAAAAAATAATTTATTATTGCATAAAATTAAACAAATAATTTAAAGTAATCACATACATTTAAGATACAAAAAGCAAAGCAAAATATATTTCATCATTTTGCCCACCTTATTCAACAGAGTACACAGGACTATTGCCCACAACAGAAATAATAATCATAAACTTTCATACATGTATCAGTGGGGGGCAGATAAAATATGGGGGGGAGGGATAACATTAGATAAAGTAATCACTTTACTTGCTAATGTGTCACTAAAACTTTAAACTGATACAAATATTAACTTTTTTTCAGTACCATAATGATGTTAAAATACAGTATGAGTATGGACACAGAGTCTTTCTTTCTGCAAAATTAAACAATTCAGAATATTGACAAGTACATAATTTGCACTTACCAGACCATTGCAGTTGCTTATTGCTACTTTAGATGTACCATGCTGGCCACGTAAATATCCTGTATAGTGACAGTTGTCTAAAAAATCATGTTTCCATTGAGGTCCATCTTTACCCCAATATTCTACTGTGAAGTGTTTGGAGACCAAATCTGTGTTGAGACTCAAGTTTAAATGAAAGTGCTTGCCATAGGCAGAAAGTTTAAAAAATAATTTAGAAACTGCCAGTTCTCGGTCATAAAATTCAGTACTCCTCTTCTTTCTTCCGCTGGGTTTAGTATTTTTCACAGTAAAACTGAGGAAGGCTCCATTATGGTCAACCCTTATTGGGATTGTTAGTTGATAGTGTTCAAGATAAGACAGGAATTCCTCTTTCAAATCACATGGTAAACCAATCCAAGAAACAGGCATAAAAAAGAAAAAAGATATAAAAGTATACCAAAAGGAATAATACAACATTATTTATATGTTATGATATCCAAGCAACTTCAGTTTAAGAATTAACATTTCTTTAAGAAAATATTACTTCATATTATTTTAAAAAATCTGTTTATCTATTGTATATTTGCTGCTAAGATTTGCATATTTTTGTTGCCTATAAAATAATTTGGTAAATAAATAAAGGCTAATCCAATAACAAAAATTCCCTCTGATTTCATCTTCCTCCTAGGGAGTCAACATACAAACAAGCTTACTTTAATGTCTTATATTGCAGATAGGATCTTTAATGATCCTATTGCTGTAGGATCCTTAGAGCTATTAACTAATCATAGTTCAATAAGCAAACAGAAAGCAAATGTTTTAAGGCATGTTTTAGACTATAATATTACTTCAAGTTACTCAGGCAATAATTGAATGCTGAGGATTTATTATTACATAACAAACTAAAATATTGGGGTTTTTTTCCTAACTAAAAGTTTTAAATGTTATTTAGATGCCCTGAGAGAAAATAACTAAAATCACAATTCATTTAAATTTTCTCTCACAATTAATATATCAATGTTTTTTAAAAAGTGATTTGTATATATAAACACTCAGAAGTAAATTGGGGCATACTAAAAAAAAAAAGAAATTTAGGACGGCAACCAAATTAAATATGGGTCAAAAGACATTAGCTTAAAACATTCGATCCCTACCTTGAGAACTATATGAAAGCCTGTTGTCACCGTGATATTCTGATAATACCATAATTAAGAACAAAATCCAGGTCAACGTCTTCCAAAAAATTTCCATAATTTAGAAGATGTAGGCTACCTATGTGCTATAACTTTAACTCCACTCCAGAACTGCACCATAACCAGAAAATATTATATTTCTTCTGCTACTTCTTGTTCCACTTCTTGATAGATATTTTGAAATAACATAGTTTCTTTCCTATATTTTCAGACATTTTCAGTCAAAAAGGAAATATAAAAATTATTCCTTCATATTGCAGTGAGGCGTTAAAATGAATAGTCAACAAATGTCCATTTCTTTACCTGAAAAGCACAAACATTGAAAATCATTATCACACACTATCCTAATCACTGCATTCTCAACATTTTTGTTAACTGTAATAGGTCTGCAGCATTCTTTTCAACTGAATTTTTTTTGTGTTCATTATAATAGTTGAGTTCAATATAAAATTTCAAATTCTTCAAAGTTACAACCAAAAAGACCCTGACTAATTAGGCTTTTCCAGAAAATATGTTCCAATCTGTTTATAAATGTGTGCCAACCAATCTGGAGTTGTTAGAATGTAAAGTTTAGTATGATGTCTCCTATATCTTAATAGCAATAGCATTTAGATTTATACACTGCTTCACAGTGCTTTTGCAGCCCTCTCTAAGCTGTTTACAGAGTCAGCATATTGCCCCCAACAATCTGGGTTCTCATTTTATCCACCTCCGAAAGATGGTAGGCTGAGTCAACCTTGACCCTGGTGAGATTCAATCTGCCAAATTGCAGGCAGCCAGCAGTCAGCAGAAGTAGCCTGCAGTACTGCATTCTAACCACTGTGCTACCGCAGCTCTTGATGTTTCATTCCTGCTGTTTGGTGACATTGAAAAGGAATTCTATGCCATCAAAGAGTTCCAGTATAATTATCAACCATATTCTCTATGGAAGATGTAAATCAACATAAAATGTCAATTTAATTCTTGTTCTTAGATATTAGATTTGTTATAACAGCTTTGGGAGAGTCAAAAGAATCTTTCATTGCCAAATTGTATTTAAGTGTTGTAACTTTTCCTACATGAAAAACTGAAGACGAACTGCCACAATGAAGGGCAATTTCACTCAGATTCAGATTCCTAAATTATTATCTATATTAACTACATTTTCCCTATAAGATTACCTTATTAATTAAAATGTGGGGACAGGGCTTTCTGGGCACTAGCTAACCCCACATCTGTTTACTTCTGTCTGAGTCTCAAGCAAGGCTGCAGAGACATTTTTCCCACCTTTCCAGAAGCTGACCAAAGACTCCCCAAATAGCTATGGCTGCTACTGGCTGTCACCATGAAGGATGTTTCAAATGTTTGCATTTCTTTCTACATTCACCTAATTATTATATAATAACCTTTCAGCTTAAGAGGTGAATAGGCCTATTAAACCCAAAATGTATTACATGACAAATGGAATTGTACCCATATGCAACACCATTTTTCACATGCACTATTTTGTTCTTTACAAAGTCTATTAAACCAAGCTCTGATAAATCCTTCTAATTGCTTTTGGCTTTGTTGTTACATTTTCTTTTTAAATGCTGTATTAAGTGGTATGGAATTCTGAGTTTCCTTTCATTTTGGAAACAAAAACCATAGCATTGTTTTAGTTATCCAATTTCATTCCTCCCAATCAACATCTTACAGGGGACAGGTGAGCATGGGTCCTCCCTGGAGAGGAAAAAGGCCTTTTTAATAGTTCATCCATACTAGATGATAACCCAATCATTAGGAATAAACTAATGTAGATTTGGAGGAAGTACAGCAGAATGTGAATTGCTTGCATTTATTCTGCCTACATTCCCTAGACTTTTCAGGGTTCCAGACATAGTCAGATATATTTTACAATTGACATACAGCTTCAACAAAGATATCAGATTCCTCCCAAAAGATATCAGTATAAGTAACCTTACTCTAGAATAATGCTGCATATTGTTTGCCTGGAAAAACATCTATATCCAGAAGAGTCCAGGCTTTTGGAAGTCTTATGAACAACTGAAGAAGCCATTGGCTTAGTATGGCTTGGCATGGCTTGATTTGACTTGCCAGGCCAAATCAGGCCAGAACTCAACAAATCATTCTGGGAAATATTTCATAGAACTGAGTAGGCTTTAAGAAAAAAAATACACTTATTTTTGCTGGAAATTAGTATGTCCATCACAAGCATGTCTTAAATACAAGTAGATGGATATGGATAACAAAATGATAGACCTCATTCTACAAATATCATATTTATACTTTTATTCATTAGATTTATTTGCCAACATTTCTGTATCTGCTTAAGGAAGCATAGTATTTGCTTCCATTAATTTTTTTCTTCACTAAAAGCAATCTTGAGGGTTGAGCTACAAATGCAGGATTGCTGATGATCCCCCAGGGATCTTGTATGGGTGAGGCTGGCCTTGAAATTGGATGTTCTTGGTGACAATCAAGTAACCTAACCACACTGTATTATATCATTTCTCATCTTAAAAGTAATGACTGTACTGTGTTCTGAAAAACCATCCTACTTTGTCTTCAGCCTTGGTAAATTGTATTTTATATCCTTTACATATATTCAAAGACCAAGATATTCCACATTTCCATTTAGAGTATACTTAAATTTTAAATGGTTTCAGCAATGGAGAGCAGCACTTTCTGATATTTAAAGCATTTAATGCTGTTATACAAGCATTGTTTTGCATATTTTATTCACTCAAAATGCTTGTTGACATTTAGCAAGAGAAAAAAGCCATTTAGTCTATTTCAAATTATACAGCCACAAATATTATCAAAAACAATATATATAAAATTTGTATACTTGCGATGTCAAGTACATATTTAACATGTTTAAGGAGCTGACTTCTTTATAAATTGTTGGCTCTTTTATAGCAAAAAAAAATCTGTAAAACAAAAATTGCAGCAGCAACAACAACAACCCCAAAATTGTAATTTTGTTTTGTTTCTTTTAAAATGCTGGTCTCCAAGTATTTTATGCTAATATACAACAGCTGTCTAAGACTTGAGAATGTGCAGCTACTTGTAGTCAAAACAAGGAAAATGTTAAATTAATATTTTAACAGAAACTCATGGTTTCAAATCAGACAATGTCAGAAACAATATATTTATCCTGGAGGAGTCTGTCTGTGCTTACAGGATGTTTTGAATTATAAACAATTCTCCAGCTTTTTAAACTCCTAAGCATGTCTCTTCACAGATCTTTCCTTCCTTCCTTCCTTCCTTCCTTCTTCCTTCCTTCCTCCCTCCCTCTTTCTGCCCAGAAATTATTTTACATATGCTATCTACTAGAATGTTTTATGGAGAAATGTGAGACACTCTTTTTAATTAATGTTTTTAACTTGGGGCAATCCCTACTCTAACAGAACCATTTGGCTCCTTCCTTCATATCTTTGTCATTGTTTAAAACATTCTTATTCTGGCAAGCATTTTGTTTTCTAACTAAATTTCAAAATTTATTTGAGAGGTGTTTTTTTTTAAAGTTATATTTTAAACTGAATTTAACTGAGTAGACACTTTAAAAAAACACGAGGCTAAGATAAAAAGTAGATGAATAATAAAACATTTTTCATATTACTAGATTTAAAGATATGCTAATTGTATGTGCAACAGATTTTGAAATATAATTAAGGAAAACAATATATTTAATTAATTTACCCCTCATGGCATGTTACGAAGAGCATTGTAGGGAAAATGCAAAGTATTAACTTAAGTTATATTCAGTTTATTTTGCAAAGTTTGAAATGGCATTCATTTTATTCATTCAAAATTTGTTTTTACTTTTAATAAAACCTTTCTGTGTATTTCAAACTATAAGCTAAGTCCCAAAGATCTTGCCCAGATCAGCAATTCTGAATCCTTAGGGGCAGCTTAGACAATATAAAAAGTACATGCAGCCAAGTCTTAGGGATGTTATGTTCCTAATAAATTTCAGCTAAATATCTTTATTTCTAAAATCTGCTACTCAGTCTGAAGCAAGAGCATTCAGAGCACTATACAACAAAAATCCAGCCAAAAATCCATAAGGGACATAATAAACCATTCTGTTAAAATAATCAATAAAAAGTTGCTAAAAGCAGTGGACTCTGTAGAGTAAAAGATAACACTAATTTGAACAACAGATGGTATCAGCAATGCAAAAAATTAAATTAAATGCCCTCAGAGAATAAAAATCTTTGGCACCAAAGAGACAGCAGGGAAAAAAAAGGCCAGATGTGCCTCACTGAAAATGATATTCTGAAGTTAACACACTGTTAATGAGAAGGCCTGCTATGAACTTGCCACTTGCCATTACCTCCTTCTGTACAAACCTTCTGCGCAGGGCCTCCAAAAATGAGCTTAGATAAGAATAGATGTGAAAAAGAGTTGTTTTATCTATTCTGGTCTCAGGCTAGAATTGGGCTGAAAGCAAACTGAGAGCCAGATAGTAAAAGTGGCATACTGTACAGTGGGTAAGCCTCTCTGTGGATAAACATCCCCCGATTGTTTTTAACCAAAGTACCATGAAAAATGCATTACGGTACCTGTAGATAAGCCAACTCTCAAACTTTTTGCATACTTTTTCCAATATATTCTAAAGGACTTCATAGTTTGTATCAATAAATATTTTACAGAACAGATTCTGTTTTAAATTTTCACAATTGATTTATTTGCAGGTGGCACATTTTTCATGGTATTTTGGCTTGGTTTATCTGCAAGCATATGAGTACTTTTTGAAGACAGCAAAGTCCAACAGATACAAACTCAATGTAAACAGCTTCAAACTCAATTGCAGAAAGTACAACTTCAGCAACAGAATGGTCAATGCCTGGAATGCACTACCTGACTCTGTTGTTACATCCTCTAACTCCCACTCCTTTAACCTCAAACTATCCACTATTGACCTCACCCCATTCCTAAGAGTTCTGTAAGGGGTGTGCATAAGTGCACCATCGTGCCTACTGTCCCTGTCCTATTGTCCCCATTTATTTGTACCAATTTCCTGTATTCTTACTCATGTTTATACTTATACCTATTATCTTGTAAGCATTTGACAAATAAATAAAATAAAAATAAAATAAAAATATTTTGGACAGAGAAGACTGCTGGTTTGAAAGAGAAGTTAAAGAGGCCATCTATGTCAACATTGAATAGCCCTCTCTTAACAGAGG